TATATATCATCCTATATGAGTCCTGGTGTGGCACTGTGAGTTAATGCAAAGCCGTTTAAACTGCAAGATCAGCAGGTCACCAGCTGCTCCTCGGAAACCCTATACAGGGTCGCTATGGGTCAGAATCAACTCGACAACACTTAACAACAACAACATACATAATAATATATATAATGTAGTAGACAATAAAGAAGGTGACTGTTTGCTAAGATCGGATTAGTAACTATCATCACAATAATAATAGTACCTGATATTTATAGATGCTATTTTTTCTCAAGTGTTTTCATATATACTATCTGACTTAGACCACTGAGAAATTAAGTGTCAAAGGTTTCAGGGCATTACAGTTTGACTTATTATCTCATAAAATGAAAGTTACTGAGAATTCATTTAATCTCCACAGGAGGACTAGTTAGCCTACCTTGTGTCTGATGTATGCAGCCAAATGAGTTTCAGTACAGCCACCTCCCAATAAAACGAATGGTTCCTTGATTGTTAACTGTAAGACATGCAGTGCTTTTTGACATGTGAGCTAAAAAAGGAACACAATCACATTCCTATCAGGTACATGAAGAAACATAATCCTGCTTTCAAAGGATCAGAGAGGACTCAGAACCTGATTTTAATTGCAAAAGAACAGGAAGAAGTGCTGCCAGGGTTCTAATCTGATTAATACATTTTGAACTAATAAAGGAGATCAAAGATACTTTAGTCAGATGTTTGTTTTTGTGGACTCTGACGATCATTTTCTTTCATATACAGTTAGCTTTTCAAATTGAGATTCACAGATGGATGGCCTCAAAATATCGGGGTCAGTAATGTTTGCTAGGACTTCTATGAAAAAATTACTTTGGGCTAACTACATTTGTTGGATAAATACCGTATAGAACTTGTTTCTAATTGCTTTGGAAAGGGTACAGCTTACAGCCTCACAATAATGAACAGAAAACACAGAGACCTTGAATAGTCATCAAGTATATATCCTTGAGCACACAAAAATCTTGGTGACTTAGTTCTATCAGTTTTCACTTACCTTATGAAGTCGCATGTTTTATCAGTGAACGACACACTCCACTAAAGATGACGATAATAGGCAATGACTAGGGGACTCATTTTCAAAATGAATTATTCATACACATCAGTACCAAAGCATATACAGTTCAAATTAATTTCTCAGAAAAGTTCCTACCAGCCAGCGGCCTTTAAATTGTGGGTAAATACAAGTGTAATTGTTATCACATTCCCAGTCTACTGTAAAGCCACAAGCAGGACTATATTAGTTTACTTGTGACTTTGTTTCTCCCATTTTTGCTTTTAATTTCTATACCACAGAGTGGCGGGACAGGGAAGCATGGCTCGCTCATGTAAAGAAAAATCAGTATCTGTCTGAGTGACAATTTAATCCCAGCCTCGGCACCCGGATGTGGAATTCGTTTGTTACCTACCTTCAACTCATCCCAGGCCGTGTCATTTCTGTTGCAGAGAAGCAAGCTGGAGACAGTCACTTCATCAGGAAGAAGATGGAAAAAGTGTTTGGAGCCAAATTCTGCATAGCACAAATCTTTCACGCTTCCATAACTCCTTGGAGAGATTGAGCCTAAGGAACCAATAGGCTGTGTTCCTGTTTTTTTTTTGAAGTTTAGAAAACACAAAATATATAAGCAAAGGTGAACATAACAATCCCTTAGTATTAGAATTCTTCCTGGCCAAGTAGATCATTTAAAATATGAACTGCAGTACAAAGAAATAAGATGCCTCTCTTGAAATTTATGAAATTAGCATTCTATTAAAGTGTGATGTGAAATTTGTATTCGACCACTAAAATGATATACAAGCAGAGATCCTTAATTTCTTGTGATTTGTAGCTCTGAAAATCTGTTGAAAGCTATTTTGTGCTCTTTCTCCAAGAAAACGCATTCAACATTTTGCACGCAATTTTGCTGAGTCGGAACTGATGACTCGACAGCACTTAACAGGCCTCTCTCTGGAAGCCCATTCAGGGGATCAGAGACCTCAAAAGGACTTGGTTAAGCTGGAATAGGGGTAAAGTGAGGAGACCAGCTATTTTATTATAAATAAAACAAATTAAGCTACCCAAATAGATTTGTACTTGAATTGTTTTGGGGCTATATTTAGTGAACAGCTAAATTGTTTTTTTTTTTTTTTGGTCTAGCAATTCTTTTTGTACGCAAGCAGCACTGGTCCTTTGAACCACAAGGTCGGCGGTTTAAACTCACCAGTCACTCTTCTGAAACCCTATACAGGGTCGTATGAGTCATAAACGACTTGAAGGCACTTAACAACAGTTATATAAATTTTGACAAATAAAGTATGTGAAATGCCTTTTTCCCTCTGCTATTCTTTGATTCTGGTATGGCACTGTAGAATAATCACTGGACTGTTAACCACAAGACTGGTGGTTCAAACCAACTGGTCACTCCTTGGAAACCCTATATAGGGTCACGATGAGTCAGAACCAACTCAACAACAGTTAAACTATTCTCTGATATATTATTTTGTTCTCAGGTCAAATAGTAAACTCTCACAAATCAGGAATTCATGGAATATGAATAAATGAGAATTTAAGAGGACTTGAATATTTAGAAAATATAATGTAGTGGTAATTATGTAAAACATAAAAGCAAAAACACCTCAATCTATTCCAATAAAAAAATAATGCAAATTTACAATCTAAAGATTAAAGCTGTAACTCTGAACGGTTCACTCCATTGGGCCAGTTTCTTCATCTTTTAAACTAACAGTTAAACAATGATGTCTAAAAACATTTGCAGTTCTAAAAGTCATGCAAGAAGCCGGATTATAATCACTGGACAATTTCCCTTTTCTGCATATCCTTTTTTTTTTTTTTAACTTCTGAACTCCAAGAGTGATCTATAAACAAATGCCTCAATGTTACTGTGTTCCCATGTTATGGAAACAGAGGATATGGAGTGAGATCTCAGCATTACTACTTTTCAGAGTCCAGATGCAGAACAAGTCATTCATGCCATTTAACTTTCTAGGTGGGCTTTCCTATACAAGAGTAAAATGAGGATGATAATGCCTACTTCACAAAACATGTCAAAAATGCCCTGTAAATCACTACATCTATTGTAACGTCATCCAGATTTATCTTCATTATTTAGCCACATCAACTTTACTCCCAAAATAGGAATTTTGGCTTTAGAAATGGGAGAGCCAAGAGATTAATGCTGACTACATCAGGGATGATGCCCAAAGCATATTCAACCTATTCTAAAAGTTTACCTAAACATGTGCATGAAGTTTTCTGTTTTGTTTTTTTCTTTCCCTTTCTCTCCTGATCTGGGACTGATGCCATTGTTTCCACTTCTTAATGCTTTCTCCTTTTAGGGTCATTTGACAGTTGTACGATGGTAGGGCAATAACTGAGAAACATGGATTCAAAACTTGGCATCAATATTGCGTTTTGATGATTTATAATAAAAATAGTGAAGCTCAACAATGGTCTAATATTTATCTAATGCTTTAAAAATGATTAATTATTTTTTAAAGTCATTATATAATAGTGCAAACTAAATGACCATCTTTGAGATAGCTAATAAGTGCAGTTAGAGATACCGAAGAGTGACAAAAATGGGGCTCTAAGGAGATCTGATAGCGTCGTTGTTACGAATCAGGCTGCTAATCTCATGGTCAGCAGTTTGAAACTACCAGGTGTTCCACGGGAGAAAGATGAAGCTTTCTGTTCCCGTAAAGATCTGCAGCCTTGGAAACCCTATGCAGGGTCGCTATGAGCCGGAACCAACTCCACGGCATATAACAACAACAAAGGTTAATTTTCTCTGGCTCGTACAGGTGTTAGAGGAACAGGCAAGCATAGCTCACTGACGTAAAGAAAAATCAGTGTCTGTTTGACAATTTAATTTCGACTTCGGCATAACTATAGGGTTGCTATGGCCGTGAAAATATTTGAATGTAATTTTGTAAAATGAAATTCCTGCCCACTATAGTCTGTTAAGGAACTCTGGTAGCGTAATGGTTACAAATTGGGCTGTGAACCGCAAGGTCAGCAGTTTGAAACTACCAGCTGTTCTGCGGGAGAAAGATGAGGCTTTCTGCTTCTATAAAGATTTACAGCCTCAGAAATCCTGTACAGGGTTGCTATGAGTCAGAACCAACTCCACGGCACATAACAACAGCAACATATTCTGTTATTAAATGTATTAGTCAATTCAGCAAATATTATAGAACATGTACTGTTAGCCAGTTTTGTTTTAGGTGCTGAAAATAAAATGGTGGCCCTTGTTCTCAAACTCAGCTTTAAATAATAGGGGATTTAGAGCCTGTGCATGCACCTGTCCCCCAAATCTAATTGTTGTTAAGTGCCTTCGAGCCGTTTTTGACTCATGGTGACCCTGTTTCCAAGGAGCGAATGGTGAGTCTGAACAGCCAACCTTGTGGTTCAAACCAACCAGTGCTTATCCTACAGTGACACAACAGGACTCTAAATCTAACTAGGAAACACTTATACAGTAAGGAGCTCTGGTAGCGTAGTGGTTACGAATCGGGCTGTTATCCTCAAGGTCAGCAGTTTGAAACTACTAGCTGATCCATGGGAGAAAGATGAGGCTTTCTGCTTCCTTAAAGATTTACAGCCTTGGAAATCCTGTACAGGGTCGATATGAGTCAGAACCAAATCCATGACACATAACAACAACTTAAACAGTGAAGTCCTGGTGTGGGGCTGTAGGATCCGCAGTGGACTGCTAGTGGTTCAAACCCACCATTCACTCCTTGGAAACCCTATACAGGGTTGTTATGAGTCAGGATTGACTCGATGGCACTTAATAACAACATTTATATGGCAGTAGTTTGTTGGATTTATGATGAAAAGTGTAGGGAAAAGATTCCATCTGCAAACACAAAGTAACTTTCTGGTAGGACATGTGATCTAGGAGCTCTGTAAAATTCTAATGTTAAGTATTTTGCATACAAAGGAAATGTGATTCTGAGAATGTTAGATTCCTCAATAATCTGTAAAACAGATGGAGGTTAATAGTTTTAAATTACCGCTCTGAAGTATGTTTTGGGGCTGAGAAATGTGTAGCAAATGGCCATAACCACTCAGTTTTAAAATAGATGATACAGAAACCACCTTCGCTGTCAGAAATGGTATGTGCACATGCTGTGAGGTTTGCGGTTTCTAAAGTTTTTCAAGATATCAATACAGTTATCAATCAATGCAGATATCAATACACATCAAGAATATTTTTGCTCAAAAGTGTGACATATTAAACTATAAGGGGCGACAGTTGAGAGTACTTTTTACCTGTCATTTTACTCAGTGGTTCCATCCGAGCTGCTCCAACCCGGTCTATTGCAACAACATGATGTGTACTGAGAAACTGTTTCAGTGATGGGTGGATAACTTTTTGACACATGACAATATCTACATGGTCCCTAACTAGCTGCCTCCCTAGGTTAAGCAACTGGTCCAGAACTGCACTTTCAAGACACACTCCATCACTGACTGCCAATGTTCCTTCTCCAGTGTCAGAAAAGTCTCCAGATAAAGACACACAAAAGAGTGCCACCTTGAGGGCGCTTGATTTTTTCACAGGCAAAACCCTCATCAATTGAGCTTCTGGCATTTCAATGAGCATTCCAGGTAATACGGTAGAATCCATAACCCTCTGACCTTTTAAAGGTACAATTATACTCCTTCCTAAAATGATGTGCTCTTTGGCCTTTTCTGGAATTGTAAGCAGAAAGGCTCTCAGAACTAAAGTGCTCATGTGATCTACTTCCATCCTGGTGAGCATACAGGCAGGTTTGCTGATCAATATGCTGCGCACCAGGCCCAGGAGGATCTGGGTACTACTGAAGTCAACTGGGATCCGACAACCACAGGCCTCAGACTTGAGATAACTGGTGCAGAGGTTCACAAGCAGCTTATTTAATTCAATGACAGTGGTGGGTGTCACATCTACTCCCTGAACATTTTCAACCAGGTTACAGCACAGAATGGCCATGAACAAGCCACAGTCACTGACGCACGACACATGGTTCTGCATGGAAGCGGTCAGGAGCTTTAATACAGGGTGGGTGACCGCCAGGCTATGGAGCAGGGCTGAGGACTGTGAGGTTGTGCGCACATGCCCTCCAACACCATTGTGCAGCTGCTTCAGCCGACCGGAAGGGCCATAGCACGACGTGACGATTCCTTTTAAGACACCAAGTGTGGCCCTGACCCGCTCACATGTTAGTGGTTCACTTTCACACACGGATGGCTTTTTAGCTTCGAAACGAGACATCTTACTTCAGGGGGTAACTTGGGAAGATAGTTTTTATTTTGTTAACCATAGTTTTCTATGTATTGCTCAGCCATGGGTTTTAATAGGAAAGAAAAATTATTCTTTAAGAACCAAAGTCTGAATCTGCAGTACTGTGGTCACAATATTAAAGAGTTCCATGTTCACAAAGCTAATTAGCACGTCATGATTTCATAACATATTAGTAAATCTAAATATTGATTTCACTTCATTCTTCAATACTTTTCTGTTTTCTTCCAGATTGAGACTTTACAGACTGTTTTGCAGCCCTCTGAATAAAATATGTTCCAAGATGGACACCTATGAAGGACACCCCAGCTACAAGAAGCCAGTTCTTTCTAATCCAACTGATGTTTTTCATTTCTTCTTTCAGTATCAAGTTCAGATTCAAAGCTGTGTCGTTCTGTAACAAACAGAAAGAAAACATTTTAGAGAAATAATTCCAAAATCATTTTAGGTTGCAATTTAGTAATTTATTTTCATATTCTGCTCCCGCTTTAGAAAAAGGAACAGATGATTGGCACAAGAGAGCTACTCAGTCTCCAGAAAATGAGAAATAAGACTTAACATTCGTTTATTCTTATATGAATTCCTACAAGAAAAACTGTTTATATTACAACATTTTTGGAATGCACAGCATGGCTAAAAAGTTTAACGTATAGCTATTAAAATATGACAAGCTTCCATATTTTGTTTCCACATTATAATACTCATAGAATTTGGTCTCTGAATTTTAAAAAAGGGCCCAAATGCTTTTATTTTTATATCCAGATTTAATGTTTTTATCTATAACCTTGATTTTCTTGGAAATGTTAGGTCTTAAGAGAAGTGTATTTACATAAAATCCAGTGTAAATAATTAGGAAAACAGGATAGTTAGCATTCCTAACATGTTGTTGTTGTTAAGTGCCATCGAGTCAGTGCTGACCCATAGTGACCCTATATAGGTTTTCCAAGGAGCGGCTGGTGAGCTTGAACCACCCATCTTGTAGTTGAAATGACTTTGCAGTCCAGCGCATTAGCCCACAGCGCCACACCAGGACTCCATTCCTATCATAGACACTCACTAATGTATCATCTATATCTCTATCTGTACACCTTTGCATCAAAAAAGAAACCAAACCTGAAATACTTAGCTAAAGTCAGAGTGAATTTCCTGTTGTTTTAATCAATTTATAAATTATTTTCAGCTTTCAATGTCAATCAACAAATCTTACTCAAAACTTTAGTTAATAACAATAAAATACAAAAATCAAGGAATGTCTCGAATGACAAGAGAGAAAAATAAGGTCTGATTTATCCATCAATCACAAGGATCCTACATAACAAAAACTCGATCATATACCAAGTGAGCAAGCAGAGATGGAGTACTAGTTTCCTTAAAAAAGGTTATAAATAGCATACCATCCTAACACTTCAATACATAAATATACAGATTTCAGGTCAGGAAACTTATCTGTTGATTCTTGGACATTTGAAGGTAAAGTTCAACCATACATGCAGGAAAATACTAGTTTTGAATACTATTTAACCTGTGTAGTAATAATAAATAATCTAACTACTACTTAGCCTAAAGTATTAAGATAAACTCACCAGCTGCTCCTTGGAAACCCTATATAGGGTGGCGATGAGTTGGAATCGACTAGATGGCATTAACAACAACAAGTAATATTAAGGGGCTAGAGTACAGTAGTACAGAATGAAAGGTGATTTGAAGATGTGAAGGGTGAAGAGGATGAAGAAATGTCATGTGAAGTCTCTTGGCTATTATTCCGAATATAGTTAAGGGGCTGTAACCATGGTTGTTGTTGTTGTTAAGTGCCATCGAGTTGGTTCCCACTCATGGCGACCCTGTATAGGGTTTCCAAGGAGCAGCTGGTGAACTTGAACTGCCAACCTTGCAGTTCAAACAATCTTTGCAGTCCAGTGCATTAACGCACAGTACTACACCAGAACCCCATAACATGTTCACCGGACCCAAATAAGTAAGGGCATGCTGTTTTTTCCCTGCAGCGATAAAGCTATTATCTTTCATAAACTTTGTTGATCTCATGCCAGGAATAGTCAAGGTACTTAAGTATTGTTTCAATGGTTTTTAGATTCAGAGAAATATAATTAAGTGAAACCTTAGTGAAATGGCTTCTATCAGGTAATTTACATGCTAAAATATAACACACACCAAAATCACTACAGAACCAGAGATTAATGGTTCTTTCTGTTAAACAATATTCAAAACAGCATCATGCAACTTTTAAAAAATAGAATGTCAAATTGCCACTTCTATCCACTTTCTATAATATCATGGGCTGCCAAAAGAAGAAAATCGATCTGTGTTGGAAGAAGTACAGTCAGAGTGCGCCTTGGAAGTCAGGATGGACAGACTTCATCTTTTATACTTTGGACATACTGTCAGCAGTGACCAGTTGCTAGAGAAGGATATCATGTTTGATAGGGTAGAGGATCAGAGAAAAAGAGGAAGACTCCCCCCTCCGAGAGATGGATCGGCACAGTGGCAGCATCAATGGGCTCAAATGTAGCAACAACTGTGAGGTAGGCCCAGGATCGGGCAGTGTTTCATTCTGTAGTGTGCAGGGTCTATGAGTCGGTACCAACTTGATGGCACCTAACAATAACAACAACAAATCCTCTATCAGTTTTGTGGTAGTGAAACCAGTGACCACATCTTTTGGCTAGCACCTAGGTTAAATAAGAAAGGAGGAAATCATTGAATGGGTTGGTTATTCCCAAATCATATTTAGGATATCAAAACTTGCTGATTTACAGTCTTTAGACAAAATAAGCTATAATTAAAAGAAAAGAAACACTGGTGCTTACTGGTGTTTGGAAGTGTCCATTAGCTCTCTTAAGACTCTTTTTAAACAATGTGGCCCACAATTTCCAAAACTATCAGATGAATGATCCTGACTACTCCTAGATACATAGGCCTGGCAGATAGGCTTTCTGCCACGATGGACAATTCAGTTAAAATACTAAGACTTAGCATATGAGTGTTGTCAAGTCTGTTCCAATTCATAGTGAACCTGTACAGGGTTTCCAAGGATGCAAGTCATTTGCAGAAGCAGTAAGCCTCCTTCTTCTTCAGAGGAGTGGCTGGTGGGTGTGAACCGCTGACCTTGTGATTCACAGACCTTAACCTACAGAATGATCACACTCCAGTGTATGACTAAACTGAAAGTTAAAATACACTATAAAATATGATTTAAAGAAATACATGTATAGGCTAGTAAACTTTTTTTTCATAAAAGAAATAAAATGTTTTTGTATAAATAGCTGACTTTAGATCTGATACAAGAAATATACAAAATGAGCCACGAACCTTTTCTGCCAAAAAAGCAAGAATGCTACTAAAGACTACCCATACCTTTGCCATCAAGTTGATTACGACTCATAGCAACACTATCTAGGGTTTCTGAGACTGCAGATATTTGTGGGAGCAGACAGTTTCATCTTTCTCTTTGAGGCCGATGGTCCAATGCCTAACCCACAAGGCCACCACAGCTCCTTGCTCCTTAAAGACTAGTTGGATCATATAAAGAAGAAACATGAAAAGAAAAAAAACAAAAAACAAAAAAAAAACACAGGAATCACCTCAATAGGGATGCAAGGTGGGACAATTTGAGCATGAAAAAGACAGACTCAATTAAAAAATTAAAAATAAAAACCAGAATAATGGCTACAAAAGACTGACGTATTTCAAACAAATGCAAACTCATGAGTTCATAACTGCACCCCACAACAAGTCCTCCTGTTGCTGGAACACTAGCTCCTTACTACAAAAACTGATGAAGGGAAATGAAGCATTTACTGGGCCTTTCCCATATAATGTATTTCAGAGTCATGGAATGGGTGATGAAGGAAAACTCTTCCAGGTAATAATTGGAGAAGAAAGGATAGGATTCAAAGATATCACTTTGCAACTCCAAGTGAAACAATTCATCAGGCTCACTGCAGTTAGTAAACCCTACTTCATGGACCAAAACCAGCCTGCTGCCTACTGTTATAAAGTTTTACTGAAACACAGCCATTTTCATTTATGTGTTGGCAGGACTGAGTAGTTGGAACACAGATGTATGGTCTACAAAGCCCAAAATACTTACTATCTGGCTTTTTACAAAAAAGTTTGCCAGTACCTAGATTAGTTGTGGTTGTTGTTAAGTGCTGTAGAGTCGGTTCCAACTCAGTGACCCTGTATTGGGTTTCTGAGGAGCGACTGGTGTGTTTGAATCACCAACTAAGTGGTAAGCATAGTAGTTCAGTGCTTACCCGACAGTGCCACACTAGGATTCACTAAGTAAAAGATCAGTGGGGGGAACTTCATGCTAGAGATATCACACTGAAATCCAGTTATCAAACTTAGTAACAATTGTGCCACACCTCACATAACGTTATTATGTGAGGTGTGGCACAGTACGATAAGCACTCAACTTTGAGTTCAATTTCAACAGCAATTCGGTGGCTTAAGTTCACCAGCTGCTCCTCGTAAACCCTATACAGGGTCGCTATGAGTAGGAACAGATTTTACGGCACTTAACAACAATGTGATTCACTAGGAAATATATATTACATTAAGATTTTTGTTTTGTTTTGAAAAAGACTAAGAAGAAACTGATTGGATGTAAGTCTCTGTTCTAAACACCAGATTATAGGAAATGGCAAAATGAGGACATAGTCAAGCAAATTCAGAATGTGGAAAAAACTTTAAATGTCCGATGAGGAGGGTAGATGTAAAGACACATATGTATCAAATGCAGTGTATGGACCTTCTTTAGATCGATTCCAACATACCACCTCAAAGAACAGATATTTAAAGACAAATTCAGAAATACGAACATGGCCTTGCATATTAGATGATATTAAAGGGCTATTGTCAACTTTTCCAGAGTGATAGTACAACTATGGCTATGTGTATGCATGTATGCTTCTAAGGACACACTCTAGCTCAAGATATAATTTAAAATATTC